GGCTGTCATATGTCCACAGTCTGAGAACAAATTCTGTCGCCGCCCTGCAGGGTCGTAACAAACTCTGTTATCTCTGTGTGTCTGTTTGCTCCTCTCGTCTCCTCACAGCAGATTGATCAGGTGGGATTATTGATCAGTGTCTCTATGTAATCCTCTGGCTCATTAACAGGCAACAGGGATTATTTTACTGCCTCTGAAAGGAAATAAATAATATGTTAGCTATAATACCCCCACCAGACAAACATAATAAAACCCAAAATAAACTATTTGGAAATGAATAATACCTCAAGAAAGATGGTATGGAGATTACTTTTTGAATAATGCAGCAGCTTTAAATTGAATTCATGTTAACTTGTGTTTGTACATGAAATTATTGCAGCCGACTGATGAATGAATCCAAATTCAGCCTGTTTCTTGTCAGGAGATTACACTGTGAATCCTGCTGGTGACCTCTAGGGGGCGCAATTGGACAGACTTAGACAGACGGAAAAAAAAGTCACATTTTGGCTCTTGTTGTTGGTGAAGCGACTTCATTTGCAGCAATTTGTGGGTAAATAAGATAAAAACGTTGACCTGAAGCATCTGAGGTGGAAAAACCTGACAATAAAGCGAATAAAGAGAATGAGTTTGTCTGAATGTCTAAGCTCTTTCTCCTTCTGGGACATTTGCTTGCTGCTGTCCTGTTTCTAGGTGCAGGATTTCCTTGCTGCAGCATATATAATCTCATAATAATAATAAGTTCAGATGCTCGTTTTCAAACAGCAAACATTTGAATTAGCAGCCTGGCTGAGAACTTCAGTGCCGCACAAAGACTTCCGCAACGCCGCATTAATGAGAAAAGCTCATCGTGTGAAATGAGCTCCTTCCCTCCGCCTTCAGCCTTTGATTAATTATGCACAAGTATTCCATTACTGCGTCTGTATGTGGCGTTCCCCGCAGAACAGCATTATTAATTATTATAGCCATTAAGGGGAACGTGGACGAGAGCTTTGTCCTCTGAGACTTTAAATCCACTAGAAAGATGATCACTGAATCAACCTGTGCATTCTGTCCAACATTCAATAATGTATCAGGATTTACTTTCATATTTTATCTGGCTAAAGGAAGGGAGTCTTTCTGTATTAAAAGTTGTAAATGTAGAAGTAACACATCACAGGATGTTTTCTGACTGGATATCACTATATTTACACAACTGAAAAATACATCAATATACAAAACAATGTTTAACTTTAATGCTGTTTAACACACATCATGAACATTCAACTTAACGTATTTGCCCAATTAGTAATGTAAAGGAAGGAAACATAATGCATCTTAACACTAAAATAATATAATATAATGTAACAGTTTCTTGGATAATTTGCTTTCACCACACAGATGTTAACATAACGTTATGTAACGTAACATTTGTCTTAATGTGTCCCTCTCATACAGTTATACAGTTTGTATGTAACGTTACATAATAATAACACGTAGCTGTCTCACTTGATTTGCCCCTCCAACAGTTTCACATGTTACATAACTTTATGTAATCTAATGTTACACACAGTAAACTGACGTAATGTAAAACACTTTAATTGGATTATTTGCCGTCACCACACAGACACATTTATCTTATTTGATTTGTCATCAACACATTTAAGACATCTGTTTACTACTTACTAGTTTGCAATCACTGTACAGATCTACATCTGCTCTGAACATTGTGAACACTGTGAACACTGAGAACACTGTGAACACTGCACTTAAACAGCAGAAATATGCTTTTAATTAAGGTTCTAACTGTAAAGTTAAGCAGCAGATTTCACCCTGATGGTTGAGGAGATTGAAACAGGAGATCAGTTTTCTCTCCACCGGCCAGTTATCTGACTGCAGTGATGGACTGTAGATATAAAACTCTACTGTACATTTTATTCTCCTAGCGCCTACAACACATTTGACAAATACAAGATCTTAAAAGGCTTTAATTAGTTTTAATATGAACATAATATACATAAGGTCTTAATTTCAACAGATATTTTATCTGTCGGATATACAGCAGAAATCAGTTGTTTTACAGTCTTTAAAACCCGTGCTGGTCCTCTCTTCTGCACTCTGTTGTGATGTTCTGTGTTCCAGATAAACTGCGGAGATAAACAAACTGAAAACATCTCGCACCTTTCGTTCAAAGATCTGTCTCAGATTTCCTCGTACTTGATAAAACGTTAAAATTAAATTAAATTTATACACACACACACACATATTCTGTTCCCAACAACAAACAGATCAGATAGTTATTATTCAGAATAAATGCATGTAATGACATTTTCTTGGTAAGGCAACAACCACCAGGGACAACAAGATAATAGAAAGTTTAAATGGAAAAAGAAAAGTTACACAACGTTACCTTAATTCACTGAGAACGCATTACAGGTGAAATTTTAATGTTTTTGCTTGTCAGCAAAGAAATGTCCTAGAAATAACAGTAATTAGGCCTTATTTTGGGAAAACTAAGACACCGAAGCAATAGTAAACAGACTGCAGTACAGCAGGAAGGAATTGATCCCACATCCTTTGTTGTAATGCGACACAGTTACCTGATGAGTTTCGTGCCGAGGAAGCACACAAACAGTTGGATATTAGGAAGAGTTTCGTCCTGGGAAATGGCCTCAGAAAAGTTTGTGCTCTATTTCACTACTTCGGACAACGAGACAATCAAGAGAAACAATCTTCAGATTTGTGCCACCAGGAGGGTTCAGATAATGACAGATATAATCCAGGGTCCGACAGTAGGGGAGAGTCGGGACGAGAGTATCCGAGGGCGGTTGGAACACAGATCTTCTCTCTTCTAACGCAGAAGTCAAAGAAAGTCCACACAAAGTACTCCTCGTTTTTATACGGTAATCAGTCGACTCCGGTAGCTAGCCATGCTTTTGTTAACTAGCTAACTCATGAATCTTTGCTCTGTGTCGCTAAAAGCAAAATATTTATTGACGAGTGAATGTCATCATATTATCTTAAGTTAGTTCATGCTAACAGGAGGTGGAGTCTTAACCCCTCCCGCCTGGTGCTTCAGGTGCATTAAAACAAACTGCCAGGTGTAGTGTCAGGTGCTCTCTGCTGTAATCTCTGATAAATGATGTGCTGTATGTCTCCTCACTGCTCCGTCTCGTATCTCACAGGACGACAAGGTGATTTCCTCCTCCCGGTTTTTTAAGCGACTCTCTTCTATCTGTACTGATGTGAATGTCGGGGGCCGCTGGGTTCACAACAGTGTTCATCTTTCTTTCTGAGTGTCTGCGGGGTTACTGCATGCTGGTGTTTGTAATCTTTCTTCCACCTCTGGAGTGCTCTGTATGGTTTCCTACTTTGCTCTGCCACGTAGAAACTACAGAGCGTTTCAAACTGAGATCTCTCCTGATTGCTTTGGTGTATCTCAGAATGTCACAGTTCAGCTGTCTGAACCCCGAACCCGCTGCGTCCACTTCCTGCTCGTTAAAAAAGAAAATGCTGATTTAATCCTTGAAAAGTCTGCTCATGTATCGATGTTCTCGGGAATGTTCCCAGCACAGAGTTACATTCTTTATTAACTTGAAATCCAGCATATTATTGATAAATCTATTATTGACCAGCAGCCTCATCAGATCAATGCTTTTACAGCACCACAGCATGCAGAAGGCAGTTTTTCATTTATAAGGATTGTTTTTATTCTTTTTGCTGATCACAAGCTCTTTAAAAAGTCTCATCTGTAAACCCGACTGATTACAGAACAATCCTGCTGACGTTTCCCCTCGGCAGCCAAATTCCCTCCTTTAAATCTGTTCAATGTGTATAATGTTTAGAAATTTTAATCAGTTGTGATGGACAATAATGAACCCAATTTCTTAATTGAAGATTTTTCGTAAGCAACCCACAAAAATATTGAAAACGTGAGCTTCTGTGCCGTTTTAAAACTTTTTATACATATATTTATTTTTGTTTATTGTATATATGCTGTATATCCAGGATACCATCAGAAATAAGATCTCGGGTCTCTGTGCGTTTTCCCTGGTAGATAAAAGTAACCTAAAATCTTGTAATATTAAAGCTGCATTACTTAATTTTTGGCCACTAGGGGGCAGAAAAACACCAGAACAAGCTCACTAGAAATATTAATTTATGCAGGTTTAAGAAGCAGTTACAGGACCTTTTGACCCAACTTTCTGCCAGACTTTTTTGAGATATTCAGCTAACAGACAAACAAACAAAAACATGACCTCCTGAGCTAATGATGCATCAGAGAAACAAAAAACTCCACAAACCAAAACCAAAACCTGCCGGAGGATCTTTGTGCTCTTTCACATAATTCACCTTTTCTGAATATCAGCGTCGAGATCCTGTTTTCTTAAAGATATCTTTCCAAGCATGAGACACTGAAGCACACATTCATGACCAGTGTTAAACGTAAAATAAACTGTAACCTGTAAACTTTGTCAAATTTATCTTCTAGTTCAAATATGTGAAATATTGAATAAATGCAAAGTACACAAAGTAAAACGTTAAACACCACACTCAGCAGTCCTACATTTCCCAACTGGGTTAGCTGTTAGCCTTCATCATAATAAGTAATTGATAAATATTTTCTATGGATCAGCATCACATGATAAAATATTGCAGCTTTTTCAGGCGTCTCGGTTCAGTTTATCTGCATTTTAATTACATATTTTTTATGTCCCCATAAACCAAATACCCTAAACTTGAACTCAGAAATCTTGAGTTGTAAAAGTTGTGTTAGAAATGTTCAGTTTGGGTCCCCATCATATAGAAACTGCCAGATGCTAACTTGCATATGTTGGGCAATTAGCACTATTAGCATTAATTAGCATAATCACCCATATGGACAATATTTCAGCAACTGATTGGCCAATGTGGACGATATTGGAGTGGTTTTAGGGGTTACTGAGGATGCTTCTATATGCTGGGGACCCAGACTTCACATTTCTAACATTAAACTTTGGGGTACTCATTATTTCCAGGTTCACAGTGGGGCTCTGTTGGCTGGCAAATGGACTAAAAGGTAGAAAATGGTCTGAAAGCGCCTTTTAATGCAGACATAAATATTCTCTATACCTTCCAAAGTGGATTCACTGGAGCTTTGGTTTGCAGCGACTGTTGCTTTCCTTCATGAGCCTCAGTGAAAAAGCTAAATGAAAATCCAATGAGAACCCGATTAAAAAGCTGAACCAACTAAGCGGTAGAATTAATTTTCTACTTTATTCCATCACAGGGGACACACAGCGGTTGGCAGCTAGTTTAGCCTACGGATATCATCAGACTGTGACATTCTTGAGTGGGTTGTTCGGCTGTGTGTGTGATTCCTGCTTCACTATCTTCTCTCTGCTGCACATTGAGATATTTCACGCTCCGCTTACTCTGCTCTTTAAGAGTTCTTCTGTACAGTATGTTCAGGAGATAACAGAGATGCCCGATACTTGTGGCTCTGAGTGAGTGTAAAAACAAAGTAAAGTCAAACATTATTTCGTCTGGCAGTAAATGGGTTTGGAAGTTCAGTCTGATGTTTAAAAGGTTGGTTTCTCAAAGCCTCAAAGGTTTTAAATAACAGAAACGAAAAAAGAATTAAAGAACAGTGAGTTGGTTGGAGGTGAAGAAAGGAAGGACGAAAGGTGAGTAACTGAACTCTGTATTGTTTCTCAGCACATGAAGTCGGGCCCTCTGAAGGACCCGCTGCTGGACGACCATGGCGACTTCAACAGGATGTCCGTGGCCATGAAGAAGATCGGCCTGGACGACACGGAGAAGCTGGACCTGTTCAGGGTGGTGGCCGGCGTGCTGCACCTCGGCAACATCGACTTCGAGGAGGCTGGAAGCACGTCGGGTGAGCTGCAGCATCTCTAAAATACACAGAAATATACCTCATATATCCATATTAGTAAAGTATCAATAAACAGTTCAAGAGGAACCCACTGAGAATCTGTAAGTAAAAATAAAAACTCAAACAAATTACTGAAAATTAAAGTGAATAATATGGATACAATTAACATAACAATAATTATTGTATATATAATATTAATTAGTGTTGTACCAAAACAACATCCTAAAGTTAAAGCTAACATTACTGCAAAGCTTGTGGAAGATATTGTGATATTGTAGGTTTAGCTGGCTAATATTAGCTTACGTTTGCTTATAATTGGAGTCTGCTAACAAACAACCTGCAACCACCACAACACAGACATATGGATGGGTTGTGTTGCAGTGAAGATGAATGAACGGAGACATAAGAGAGTTTCCATCTCAAGAGAACATAAATAAGCGTAGTAAGAAGGGATGTTGGAGGACAGATATGCTGTTTCATCAGAAAATAAAAAACCTTGGTGCCACAGAGGCAGAAATTCTGTCAAAGAGTTTTCTTTGTGACAGAACAAAATGCAAACTGCACTTTCTGACAAGGACACAGAACCTCAAAGGCCTCGTTAGCGGCTTTCGTTGGAGAATATTAACAAGTTCAGAGGTGCTGTCTGCTAATGTGCTGGGACGTGTTCGTCATCACATTGACGCAACTGTTTTAATGACTCTGTGGATGTCATGTGAACCAGAGACAGGAAATGCTCATGGTTAGCTATTGGTTCATGTGCTCCTAACTGGTTACAACATCTGCAAAGAGCTCCAGCTTTAATCCGCAGTGAGCGTATTCGGACCTGAAGCCAGCAGGAAGACAGTCCTGCCTGTAATCAGACACTGTAAATTAAAGTGTGCCACATACAAAACGTGATAAATAAGCTTTAAAGGGGATTATTTTCTCAAGGTGACATTGGCAGTCGAATGTTTTCATGGTTCTTTACTTTACTCACAAGTTTTAATCCTTAGACAAGAGAACGATCGAAAGCCCAAAACCAAACGATACTTGAGAGAAGCTTTCAGAGAAAAGCAGAAAATGCTTATTAATACATTTAATTTTCTTAAATCAATTAATCATTTCACCATTTCCATTTTCTATTTTTATTTTTGTTAACTAATTCCATTTACAGACAGATGGATAGGTAATATACTAATTTGTCAAATTCTTAATCATGTTCATATTCCTGAACGCTGTCAGGGTCAATAAAGTAGAAGGTACAGTCTCTCTCCAAACCCACCAGACTCCACTGACAAAAACAGTAATTGTACGTTGCAGAAAACAGGACTTGCTGATTCACCGCTGCCTCGATTGGTTAGTTTATTCGTGTTATTGTGGAAATCTCGGATCCAACCTAACACGCTATGAAAATATTCAATTAATACACGTCTACTCTGGATAAGTACCTCATACAACTCCACTTCAGTAAATCCTAACGATGCTGTGTAACTATGTGAATTCTTCCTCACTGCTGCCTTTCCCGGCTGTATCACTGAGAGGTCACAGGTATGACGGAGAGGACAGTTCATCTTCGGCTCTAACTGATGAGTTTTTAGACCGCAGCTTACAGCGGTCTGTGATTGCATCAGAAACCATCCATCTCGCCAGCTCCTCAGCTCCTTAAACGCCACCGCTCTGGTCCCTGAGAGGCAGGCACCATTTTGATCTCATCCCTCTGCCCTATGATTGATCGACGTAATATTGGGCCGACGTCACCCTTTCTCCTCACTTCAGCCTCATTGTGGTCGAAGACAAATGTAAAATGTGACATTGGAGTCGGGCGCGTTCATGTGTGGTTAAAATCCGAAAGAAATCTTTATTCCACTAAAGGGAAATTAATGAATTATACAGTTTTAAAGTAATTACTCACTATCTTTTTAAGTATTATATCCTCCTTTTAAGGTGGCAGCGTGGTTGTCTCCGATGCTCCACCCCGATCTCACGCCTCATTTTCCACAGTGGTTCCCTCCAGGGGAGACTCCATGAAAATCAGCCAATCCTTTGAACTTCGCCAGTAAAGTTCCTCCGCTCTCGGTCCCTCCCCCGTCGTTTTCTCCCTCTGCGGGGAAAGAGGAGGGAGCACGGCAGGGCGCCTATTAAGTAGGCTGGTTCTCGCAGTGGGTGGCTATCATGGCACGTGTTTTACAGCAAGTGAGAGGGGCCGTGTTCAGTCAGTCGGGGTAATCATCCTGTTTTTGAGACCAGCTCGGTTTGGATTGAAGCTCTCTTGAGAGGCTGGTTTTTGAAGAGCTCTTTACAGAATATTTATTTGTATTTGGCATCGCCAGACCAAATATATGCCTGTTTTTAAATCCAGTGTCAAAGCCAGGAAGAAGACAACAGAAATACAGACCTTTATAAATAGCTGCCTTCAAACATTATTACAGATCTGATGGCTGAACTCATCAGAAACACTGACCTGTGGCAGAGAATCAATCAGTGCCCGGCAGCAGACGTGATCAGAAAGAGAAGATGGAGGTGGAGAAATAAGAGGGAGAAGATATATCTGCACATCAGGAGATTCTTTAATAAAACAGACTTTAAGATCAGTTTAATCTTAAAGCTTTAATCCACATTATAATGTGTATAAACAGGAGAGCTGTGTTCTGTATGTAGTTGAGTTGTGTACCTGGAGAGAAGATAAAGCTCAGGGAAGTGAGAGCTGCTCCAGCTGAACAACAAAGAGCTCAAAGCTACAATATGTCAACTGTTAAATCAATCAATCTATAATTATTAAACAAAAAAAAGTGTCTAAACACTAGAGCTATGTATATAGTTGAGTTGTGTCTATTGATGGAAAGCTTGTTAAATAAAGTGATATATAACATGAAAATCTTCACCTTTAGTAAGACTTTAGTTTACTAACGACTGAGTAAAGTAACTAACAGACTCCAGAGATAAACGAATATACTGACTGAATAATCTCATAGTAACTGCGTATTCCTGAACATCCGTAGGATGGTACATGAACAGCTTTGTGCTGGTTGGTGACAACACTTCACAGAGTTCTGATCAATGCCAGCAATCAATAGCTCCTGAAAGCTAAGTGAGATAATATAAAATCAATGTCCCGGGCTGAAGGAAGACCCTGCGGAAGGAAATGCTCCAAGTACATATTAGAGCAGAGGCCAAGGACTCAGACCTAAGTCCTAGTTAATTAAGCGTCATTATTTCCAGCCTCTCCTGACAAAGTCCTGACCGTCTGCGCCGTCCTCCGAGAACAAAACCTCTACCGATTTATAGGAAGACACTGACAGTTCTGACAGTGAACTCGGACGAGTGCACCGAGATCGGTTTGACCTCCGAGTCTACAGCCCGCCGACTGTTTGTTGAGTCGGGTAATAAGAGGAACAAAGATCGCATGCAGAGACGAAACCGCTAATTAATCTATTCATAATGTTGT